CCCCCAACTAAAGTGGCAGCAGTCGCCCATGCAGGACACTGCCCCCTCCCTCCCTCCTTCCTTTCCTTCCTTCAAACATATTTGTAATGTAAAATAGTCTTAACTTCAAAAATAACTTAAATTTAAGATAGACCGGCCTCAGGCACTGAGGTTGGCACATGCTGCATGTTATGTGCAGGGCCTGTCCAAAACCCACAAGCAGCTCTACAGGCCAGACAATAGGGCTCCATGGGCCATATATCTCGTTCTCAAAGTGATCTAACATTTTTGTTATTACCGTGTTATGAATATGCTTCGTTGCTCTTTCTCTGCATTCTTGGAAATTCTCTCTCCTTCCCCACTGAAGTACTGAGAATTCCCAGCTTGAGAGTAAGCTGAGGAAAACTGTTTGTTCCTGAAAAATGTCTTCTCTTTGATTAGATTCAAAGGTTTAAGGATCAAAAATGAACTTGAATTAATCTTGCCTGACTATATATATTACAGAACACTGTATTTGACCCACTTACCTGCATACTGAGCTCAAACACCTGCTTGACTAAAGCACATCTTCCAGAAAGGCACCTTTATATTCATAGTTTCATAGTAGTGAGGGTCAGGAGGGACTTGAACAGATCATCTAGCCCAGGCTTGTCCAACATGCAGCCCGCCAAGCCATTTTATCCAGCCCGGAGTGGAGCCACTGCCACCGAGTGCCGAGCCGCGGCAGGCAGGGCCGGCCTGCGGGCCCCAGCCAACAGCAAGGGGAGGGGAGCTGCTTACCCCCGTGGGGCCAGGCTTAGTGAGCTGGGTCCTGCTGCCACTGCCTCGAGGGCTGCACAATGCGGTGCTGCGCCTGACTGGACGAGCTGGGGACAGCCCGTGCAGCTTCTCTGGCTCCGCCCCTTGCCTATTCTTCATCAGCTTATTACCATTGTTCCTCGTCACCCCAGGTGGTGCTGGGGAGAAAAGGGCTCTACCTATTTGCTGTTGATCTCCCCTGATGAGTTTGTAGGCAGCCACCAGGTCTCCCCTCAGCCTCCTCTTGCTGAAGCTGAACAGGTTCAGGTCCCTCAGTCTCTCCTCATAGGCCTGTCCTGCTGCCCTCTCACCAAGCGGGTGGCCCTCCTCTGAACCCTCTCCAGGCTGGCCACATCCTATTGATTTGAAAGTATCAAAAAATATCCTTAATTTTCCTTTGGAGTCTGTTCCAGTAGCTAACCACTGTCACTGCTAAATATTTGCACCATATTTCTAATTTGAATCTATTTGGCTTCAGCGTCCACCTGTTACCATGACTGTGCCTGCCAGATTAGAGAGCTCTTTAGTGGTATTTTCTCACTCAGAACTTACTTGTAGTCAAGTCCCCTCTCAGTATTCTGTTTGATAAGTCAGGTTAGACTCTTTTAAGTCCCTTGTGATAGGATGTTTCCTCTAGCCCTTAGAGGAACTTTGATGATGCTCCTTTACACTGTTTATAGCTGCTTTGCTCACCAGTATTCTTCATTCTCTGCTCTTGTGGGAAATTTTGAATGGGAACTTTTTTTAAAATTTTAAAATGAAACTGCTTAACATTGATGTTTCCGGTACACAAATGTCTCTGTGCATTAGATGTTTAAAAATCTATTCTTAGCCATTCCGAAAAGGTTGTCATTTTTTCAGCAGAGTGTTACTACGTTCTCTTTCTCTGTAGGTTCGCATTCAAGAGACACAGGCCGAGCTGCCTCGGGGAAGCATTCCTCGCAGTGTTGAAGTGATCTTGCGTGCTGAAGCAGTAGAGTCTGCTCAGGCTGGTGATAAGTGCGACTTCACAGGATCACTAATTGTGGTGCCTGATGTGTCTCAGCTCTCCGTTCCAGGTGTGTTGCTCTCCGAGAATTGCACTTCTAGTTTGTCCTGCCTACCAACTCTCGAGACTCAACTACAACTCTTTTTCTAACAATAGGTGTGCGTGCAGAGACTGGTTCCCGTGTCAGTGGTAAAGAAGGTTATGAAACTGAAGGAGTCCGAGGACTTCGTGCCCTTGGAGTCAGAGAGCTGTCGTATAAGCTAGTCTTCCTAGCATGTTATGTTGCTCCCACAAATCCACGGGTGAGTCTTGGAGGAAAAATAGCCTTAAATGATCTTCCTTGTTTACTCACAGTGAATGTGAGGCATTAGTTTATATCTGCTTTCCGTTTTACTCTGGATGTGACCTGTAGCTACTGTTAATGATCCTTTTCTGTTTTTATGGTAGTAAGTTCATCCCCTTCCATGTCCTTTCTTATGGAATCATCATAAATGTGACAATCTCACTTTTAGATCTTTATAACAAGTTATTAAATGGCCCATGTCCTTCCATTTGTGTGTACATCTCTTCCCCCCCCCCCTTCTCCTGGGTTTCAGAAAGTCAGTTTAAACATGAAAGGAAAGAAAAGAGCTTTGCACTTTTACTTTAGTTCTTTTGTCTTTTTCTTTATGGACCTTGAGTGCTTTCACAGTACAAATAATTAACCTTTTTAAAAATTAGCTAGGGATGGATTTTTAGCAGGGTATGATCAATTCCAGCCTATAATTTCACTTGCAGCTTGACAGTTGGCCAAGACATGGTATTTGAATCTTTCTTAAATTTGCTGGAGGCTAAAGTGCTGTTTTCTTTCACATTTACTGATGTGCCTTTTATTGGCAATTAACTTCAACAGGGTATGGAAAGGACAGCCATTTAGCTTGGACTTTTTAATCCCTTTCACTGCTGAATTCTCTGTTGCTAAATTTACAGTTCTGCTTGTACAGCCTTAAGATGTACACTGTACAGCCTTAAGAGTTAAGGGGTTAAACAAGTTCTCCTTGCAGTGGACTTTTTTTTTTGTCTGCAGCAAGGAAAGCAGGAGGAATGCTACAGAATAGGGTAGTATTAGTAAAAATGTACCTTTTGTCATGGAAAGTAAGGCATAAAACTTCTTGTTCTGAGCCTCTTGTTCCTAGTAATGTGGACTAGTTTCCCTATTAAATACCTGTATTCTGTAGAGCTTTCAGTGGGTCACTTTGAACAGAACCCTTCTGTGGCTTTTGCAAAATCAAATTTATATGAGCTCAGGCTTTCAGTGTTCTCTTTCTGTAATTGCCATGTTTTGCATTTGTCGTTCATTCACTCACTCTCTAGTTTTTAATCTTTGTTTAGTTTGGGGGAAAAGAACTTCGAGATGAGGAACAGACTGCAGAGAGCATTAAAAACCAAATGTCTGTAAAGGAATGGGAAAAGGTGTTTGAAATGAGCCAAGATAAAAACCTTTACCACAATCTCTGTACCAGCCTCTTCCCTACTATACACGGTAAGAGTTCACCTGGCCTGGCAGGGTGAACTGATTGCATTATTAACCGTATTAGCTACTGTGACTATGTAACTATCTTACATCCACATATCCGGTGTTCATAGTGCTCTGCAAGATGGCGGTATTTTTCATCTGACTACTTCTAATGTTAAAACTTAAATGGATGAGAGAGTAATTTTGAGTGCGTGGAGACCTGTTTGTTAAATGTTCAGTAAACCCTACAACTTAGCAGCTGGTTGTAAACTTTGCCTGGTAAAAAGGCTCATAGAACATTTAACAACTAAGACTTAAAGTATCATAGTTCTGTATTGGTTAAAATATTTTTCATGCTGCAGTTGTTCTCTGCTATTAGCCAGTTTTGCCATTGTTGGCTCAGAACAATTGCTTTCTGTTTCATTGCAGATACTGACTTTTTGGAAAAAGCTAAAGATTTTATTCAGATATTCTCGGCCAACAAGGCGCGCTAGAATTCTGCTTCCTTGTTGGTCACTCTGTCTCTCATAGAGCAGCAAGCATGGACAAGAGCAGTAAATGCTTCAATATCATTTCTGAGAAGATGCTTACAAAAGCATCCTAAACTTCTATTGAGCAAAATGGCTTGTTTGTTTTACCTGCAAAAAGTGAAACAACCCAAAGCTGCTTTATGACCCTCTATTACAGGGGTGGTTAGTTATTTGGACCCAGGTGCCACGTAGGCAGTTTTGGATAGTTGCAAGCTGGTCAGCATCCCTCCTTCCCCTACAACAGCTCACCAAACTTGGAGCCCACCAGACCTTTGGCTCCTCCCTGCCACTGTCACCAGTGGCTAGCAGCAGCTGAGCACACAGCCCTGGCCCCAGCCTGGAGCAGAACAGCGAGGACTCAGGTGCACAGCCCTGTTCCTGGCCTCAGCCTGCCCCAGCCATAGCAAACCAGCTGCAGACCAGCCCGGGACCCATGTGCAAAGCACCGGCCTGCTCTGGACAGGCCTGCCCATGATGAGTGGTGGTGGCTGGGCAGAAGCTGTTTCTGGGCATGGCACGGAGGAAGAACAGTCATTACGCCCTTGCTGCTGCCAGGCCCTTCTTGCTGTGGCCACTCAGAGCCCGTGCCTGGGCTGCCCTGTGGCTCCTTTGCTGCGACCACTGCCCCACTGGGTGGCCCACAGGTAGTGCTGGTGGGGTGGACCGGCACCAGGCCTGTGCACACAGGTCTCCACGGGGCTAGGGCTGGGGGTGGCTACCAGAAAGAGCCACTCCAGCCCCGCTGCATGCTTGGGACTTGCACCACAGGCTGGATGGTGCCTGGGCCAAGCAAGACTGAGGGACCCGCTGCAGGCTGGTCAAAGTCCCTCCTCAGGCTGGATCCAGCCCGTGAGCTGTATTTTTGCACACGTCTGCTCTATTAACTTGTCTCTTTGTGGGGCCAGGTAACGATGAAGTGAAACGAGGAGTTCTGCTCATGCTTTTTGGAGGAGTCCCTAAGACGACCGCAGAAGGTACTTCATTGCGTGGAGACATCAATGTCTGCATTGTTGGTGATCCAAGTACGGCCAAAAGTCAGTTTCTCAAGTAAGCGTCTCTTTTCATCCTCAGCGCTTCAGTGTGTCCAAGAATAACTTACAGCTAAGAATGTCTTCTGGGAAAGAAAGTTGTAATATACCAAATGCATGTTGTTAAGCAGTATATTTTCCTGCGATGTCTATATTGACTTAGCATCTTACTTAATATCTCTGTATCTTTTCATTCCATCTGTAAAGTTGGAATAGTTACTGTAGCCACAGCACTTCATTTTTTTTATAGGTTTATTGTCTGTCTAGCACTTGAAGTTCTTGAACATTTGAGTATAGATTACAGCAGAAACTAGTGAGGTTCTGCTGTAAATTAGACATTACTTGATTTTATCGCTTCCATTTTCTTTTTCTTAAAGGAAGTAATCAGTCTTACATTGGCGTAAGAAGTCAAAGGCATCACAGTATAGAAGTTCTCATATCTGCATCTCTTGCATCACTTTAGAGAAGATATTTTGTGCAGGTTAATCACTTATTGGTACCTCTTACCAACAGGCACGTGGAAGAGTTTAGTCCCCGTGCTGTATACACCAGTGGGAAAGCCTCCAGTGCTGCTGGTCTGACAGCTGCTGTAGTGAAAGATGAGGAGTCTCATGAGTTTGTCATTGAAGCAGGAGCACTGATGTTGGCAGATAATGTAAGTCCAGGAACTAAATATTAAGACTGATGAAAATATAGCAAGCTGCAGTCTTCCTTTCTGTGATTTTTTTTTTTTTTAATTTACTTTAAACAGTTTTGCAAATATTTTGACTTCAATAGTACAGTTACTGCAAAACTAGTTAAAGCTAGGCAGTTACCTTATCTGTGTTTCCTTCTGTTTTATAGGGGGTTTGTTGCATTGATGAATTTGACAAAATGGATTTGCGGGATCAGGTTGCCATTCATGAAGCAATGGAGCAGCAGACTATATCTATAACTAAAGCAGGTGTTAAGGTAACTCAAGGAATTCTTTCAATCATTATACCGTGGGAGATCCTTGTACATGCGTAACTACTGTCCACTTAGTGCTGTATTGTGTCAGATCTGTGCTAAGCTCCATTGCTGACTTGGGAAGTCACTTTACCTTTTTGGGCCTTAGTTTCTCCCACTTATAGAACTGAAAAAACCTAACCATGGTGTATTGTGAACACATGGTGCTTGCAAAGTGCCAGCTGCAATATTTGAGATCCCAGCTTGGTAGCTGTTAAAATGTCAACTCCTTCAATATGAGCAGTATGTCAGTGCAGTGTGCCATTAATCAACTCTTAGCCCAGTTCTGGCTTAATTTCTGTTGCTTTTATGAGCTGTTTTTTCTTAGCTGACTCTAAATCAGTAGGAGTGTTACAAAGTCCTGGCTATGTTTAGTATAGGGACTGCAGTATTGGACAGATGGCTAAATTCTGCACTGACAGCTTGGAAAAAAAGCTTTCATTTGTTGGGCTTCTTTCGCAAATGCCCCTGACAAGTGGTGTTTTCTAACTTGTATCTTTCCCACATTGTCAGGCGACTCTGAATGCCAGGACCTCCATTTTGGCTGCAGCAAATCCAGTTGGTGGACGTTACGACAGATCGAAGTCTCTGAAACAGAACATAAACTTATCAGCTCCCATCATGTCCAGATTTGATCTTTTCTTCATTCTTGTGGATGAATGTAATGAGGTAATTACAAGGCCAGTACCTATCTGTAGATGCTTATATCTGATTTTCTTTCAGATATAAATATGTACAAATTCTACTGAATTGAATGAGAGGATATTGATTTTTGGATTTTTCCAGTAATAATTTGATCTGTAAAATGACAGCCTGTATCATTTTTTAAATGGCTGGTCAGAGAAGACAAAACTGCCATCAGCCCATGTGATATTTGCCTTAAGTACACACACATTGAGATGTAGAGTGGGAGTTGGTTCAACACTTTTCTTTCCACTCCTTCCCTAAGGCTGTCTCTGAAACTGAGATGGAATCAGGGGACAGTGTATCTAGGCTAAGATGAAGGAAAAAAATTCAACAATAAAGTTTTAGCTGAACTTGGAACTTTATCTGCATAAGTTTCAAAATTCATGATACAAGGCTAGATTTTTTTTTTCATTAATACAGCTTCTTTCCATTCCCTTTTTTCATTAAGTTTTTGATACTTGGTCCTGTGTATCGTGACATACAGTTGTGCTTCAGGAAAGGCTGTGCCATGAAGAGTGTAAATGTGGTAGGAGGAAGGGAAGAAGTAATGTCCTTTCATTGTGTGTTAGGGTTCTGATAACCTAATGGTTAAGAATCCTCTAACTGAGAGTGACTCCTTAGGTTACGGATTATGCCATTGCCAGACGCATAGTGGATCTGCATTCGCGAATTGAAGAATCTGTTGATCGTGTCTATTCATTAGATGACATCAGAAGGTATCTGCTTTTTGCAAGACAGTTTAAACCAAAGGTAACTTGAGTTTTCATATCTTGCCATACAATACAGACAGGCCTAAAAATGCCAAGTTAATCTGCATCATCATCTCTTGCACAGATGAAGAGAAGCTCCATAAACTGATCCTGCCATATAGCAGATTATTTCACCTGTGATCCAGAAGCATGGATTTTCTTATACAGTGTAGAGTCTCAGGCAGCACAGTTGGTACTGTGCAATAGTCAGGGAGTTTAAGAACTTCAGTCTCTGTACAAAAATCTTCTAAGAGGAATGGAAGAGTAGCTTCATGGTTAATTCATGTCTCTAGTACATCCTTGCTTCAAACACTGCCTGATTTATCAACATTCTTCCTTTCTGCTTGATAAAAGCAGTTGTTTGAGAATTTTTTTTCTTTTATTAAGAAAAAACAACCTTTCAGTTCTCTCTGCATGGTAAACTACTCCACATGGGGAAAAATGGCTTTGAACACAGAATTTTGGAACTTTGTTCCAATTAAGTTCCAATCTTAAAATTGGCTTTAGGTGGATACACTGAAGTTTTCAGTATACTTCTGTCAGTCTGTCCTGAAAGACGTTTATATGTTACGTCAAACAGATTTCTAAAGAGTCCGAGGACTTCATAGTTGAGCAGTATAAACGACTACGTCAGCGTGATGGCTCTGGTGTCACAAAATCATCCTGGAGAATCACTGTGAGACAACTGGAAAGCATGATTCGACTGTCTGAAGCTATGGCACGAATGCACTGCTGTGATGAGGTAACATAGTTTTTTGTTTTTAACATCAGGGATGTCAAACTCATCAGACCCCATAGGCCAACTGAGTGGCACTGGCCTAATCTTCTGGCAGCATCATGCCCGCAGACTGATCCAGTCTGCGTCCGAGACTGGCCCCTGCACACTGTCTACAACATACCAGACCAGCCCCACGCTCCTTCTGCACGGTACAGCACCAATTCAGCATGCACCATAGTGGGATGGTGTAGGTCTAGTCCAGGATCCATGGACAGTGGTGCCCTTTTTATCAATGCTGATGCAATATGGATCAATGTATTGGTGCACCTCTAGTATCCAGCCTGTGGGCTGTATATTTGACATCCCTGTTTTAGATCACTAAAACATATACACATAGAATCATAGAAAATTACTGTTGGAAGGGCCCTCAGGAAGTCATCTAATCCAACCCCTTGCTCATAGCAGGACTATCCCCAAATATATCATTCCATCCAAGGCTTTGTCTACCCAGGTTTTGAAAACCTTCATGGATAGAGATTCTGTAACCTTTCTGGGTAGCCTGTTTCAGTATTTTACTACTCTCCTAGCAAGAGTTTTTCCTAATATCTAACCTAAACTTCACTTGCTGCAACTTCAAACCGTTGTTCCTTCTTGACTGTTCTCAGTGGCGGTAGACTAGCTCTATTGTCTTGAGAAGCACCCTTCTCTTCATGTAGGTGAATGCTGCTCTATGATCCCCCCCTCAGTCTTCTCTTCCCCAGGCTAAGTAAGCCCAGTTTCCTCAGCCTCTGCTCAGAAGTCATGTGCCCCAGTCCTCTGACCATTTTCATTGCTGTGTGCTGGACTCTCCAATTTGTCCACATCCTTTCTGTAGTTGGGAGCCCAAAACATGCAGTTAAAGTTTGGGATTTGGGGTCTGGTAGTGATAATGTAAGTCACTAGGTAGTATAATTGAGGAGATGGACTTGATCATGTCTTGGTTAGGTGAAGTGTTACCTGCCTCATCTGGTGTTCATAATCCTAGCAATACAGTAGTACTTCAAGGGTTTGTCTTTACTATGGAAAAGTGTATTGTGGCTCTCTCAGATCAGTCAGTTCAAAAGGAGAACCCACAGTCACGTCCTAAATGTCAGCAGTGTTAACCGACTGCTTATCGAAGCATTCCAGGAAGAAAAGGATTGGTCAGGTTGGGAAGAGCCGCACAATCTGCACTATATGTCTATTGTCTAGGTCCAGTAGGGTAGCACAGCTCCCTGGGACAGCACAAAAGCGTAGGGAGACCAGCAGAGCATGCACATGCATTTGGAGGTACTGAAGAGGAGCTGAGCCCACTAAGCATGATTGTATTTGTGCCCTTGTTCAGCTCTACCAAAACTGGTGTCTTGTGTGGGATAGGCTTAATAAAGTAGCATTGACTTTGTTCATCTGTTCCTTACCTAAAAATCCAGCTGCTTCAGCACGTGAAAAAGACTTCAGCCTCTTTTTGACATGTTGGTTGCATCTACACATTAAATTAATTTGTTGCAATAAACTCTGGCATTGTTCATAGCACTCTGGCATGTCCAGCTGGGGTGGAGCAGCCTCAGCTAATAGGGGGCCCTGCGGGTCAGCCTGCCAGCCCAGGGCTGCTCCAGCCTGCCTCAGCATGTTGGAGAGGGACTGGCTGGGGCACAAGGGTGCTACAGTGCAGGGCTAGCCAGTGGGAGTGAGTTGCAGGAGAGTAAATAACTCTGCTGTAGGATAGTATCTTAAAAGCCTCCAAGGATGGGGATTCCACCACCTCTCTTGGTAACTGTTCCAGTGCTTCACCACCCACCTAGTGAGAGTTTTTCCTAATATCCAACCTAAGCCTTCCTAATAGTTCTGCACGTGTAAATGGTGATGCTTTACTGTGAAGCTAATTAGCCAGCTCTGGAATAAAGCATCTCATGTAGAGGCACCCATTATGTCCTATGTCTAAATGTGACACATGAGTTTACTGGTTATGTTAAAAAGATGATGTCTAGGGTTACATTTTGATTAAATTTAATTTTTTTTAAATCTTATAATCCACCATCAGGTAAGTGGACACATTTCTAATTAACTGATTTCCAGCTCCAATGGGGAGACACTTTTTCATTAAAAATTAGACTCTTGCATGTTGTTGCTTGTCACACATTTCACTGTTGTATTGGTTGATTGAAACC